GATAATTCTAGAAAAGTCTGGGATTGCGTGACAGATTCAGTGAAAATAATTCGATCCTCGTAACATGGGGAAAACCATAGGAGTAAAGCTATGAGTTGAAACTGGAAAAACAAGAGAAAACAGGCGTGATAGAAGCCGATGTCATGAACAAATCGCTGCCGTGAAATGTAAAGAAAAGATCTTTTTTATTTACTGGATATTTTCGGTTAGCATGTTCCCCTCGGCCCATCTTAGAGCGAAAGAAGGTTGCAAATGTATACTTTTTTAAACATTTTGAAATTTTTAGAGATTCTAACCAAAACGATCGAGGCTGCGTGAAACGGAATGGAACGGAAGGTGTACCAACTTATTACGGACTTAGGCACGAACCCAAGGAAAAACGTTTTCGGAACAATGTACCTTTCGGGATGTCTACGGTTATTTTCACGTTCCCCAATAGATTAATGATCACCTCGACCCATCCTAAAAGATAAAAGGTTTGCAAACGGACAAATGCGAAGGAATTTGCGAAGCTTTTTGGCTCTGGATCTCATATAATAACAACCAAGGATCGAGGCCGCGCGAAGGTCGAGCGACGTGGTACAAGAGGACGGGAAGGTCCGTTGACAACGGCGCGCGCAGCAAAAATACTTATAGGAAACTCGTTGCAACGAGACGCCTGCGTGCAGCCGAACGAAAACCCCGGAGTTTTCGTTCGGATGCACGCAGGCTATCCGTTCTTCAATAGCCTATATAAACTCGGCTTTTCAAAGATCGCCAACACAAATTTTCGCTTTCACAAACAGCTTTAAGGACAACGAAACTATCCTCTTTGAGAGTGATGTAACAAGCGCAAACAGAGGATAATTATAGTTACGGAAAGTTAGATGTACATACATACATACACATACATACATCTTTACTTAACAATGCAGGTTAGAAACATTGGCAAGAGCGAAGTCCTGATGTGGACCTGCCTAACTACAAATTAAATACAATAACAATAAAATATTGAATATAAATTGGAAAAACAGAGTGAAATTACTTCTTAAATACAATTCTAATTAGATACGTTAAATACAAATCAATATTAAATTTACAATTAAAAATACAGAAAGTCATCGCGTTTCATTGAAACACAGCAGGAACCTTTGGCAAAATTATGCTA